AGCCTGACCACAGTGGCAAAGATTGAACACAGAATGGTTTGTAGACTGTGTAGGATCAGAGACTACCTGAGATATTCACTATAGCTCCTCAGGCACTTTGGCCCGGAAGCTCTCTGGTCTCTCTGAATAATTTAGGACAACAATGGCTCATTCTTTGCAACTTAACTTTAAAGGTGCAGAGTATTGAGGGGTTTGGTCTTCCAACTTCTCCACTCCTGCAAAATCTCAAACTTGCTGAATTCTGCAAGATCTTTAAGGGTTGGGATTAACATTTGATTCCATTTTTTGCAGTGATACAGATTCTGAAATTCGGGCATGAGAACATTTGTGCTAACATTTTCTTTTGAAAGAAAAAAGTCAGAAGGCAGATTGTTTGGACTGAAGCTTACTCTTGGCTTACGCTGTTACTACAGGAATCCTGAGTATGCATTGTGATTCTAGTTTATTAAGTGCTCCTTTTCTTTCATATTCACACTTTTTGTGTGGAAATATTCGTTGGGCTTTTAGAGCTGGCTTGACCATGAGTTGGAGGTGATGGTGAGTGTGAATGAGGCGAAGCGGCATCTGGGCTCCCTCCTGAATGACCGCAAGGTGCTGTCCCAACAACTGCACACACTCCAACAAGAGAATGAAGAACCCCCACAAAAGGTAGCAGTGGAACTCTAAAATAACAGTCAGATTGTTACTGGGAGTATAGAATCTCAAACTAAGGCCAACCAGTTGTCGGATTTGGGCTGGCTTTTTATACAGACATCTCATTGCTCATTTATTTAGTGAAACGTTTCTGTACTTACATGTACACTGTCAGTAACTGTTCATTGCTAGCAGTGCTAGGTTCCAGATAGTTCATGTTCCTGGTTGTTATTATCCTGGGGATATGCCACATTTCACTATTTTCTGTGAGAATGACATTTATTCTCTAAAACCTCCTAATAGATTTTAGTTAGGATTAATGAATCATTACTGTACGTAGTAGAGGAATACCTAATTTGTCATGTGAGTTTTAATAGCCAACAAGCCACAACCAATATAAATGATTTGCTCCTCAGAAATTTGCCAGTCCATCCAAGGCAGTTGACATACACAACCAAGACACAGGCAAACGTATTAAAAACTTACAAGATGAACTGGAGCTGAGAAACGCACAAATCAGCGACCTTCAACAGAAGATCGTGGATGCTGATCAAGGTAGAGTTATTTCTAAAAAGGGTATGGAATTTCAGATTATGGGATGCATAAAGTTCCCCCATTGATCTACTTGAATGCTGATAAATATATTTTCATTTTAGTGTGGAGTTTTAGGGATGCTTCTCATGCCATTTCTACCATGCAGATGCTTTTTGTAGAGCTGTTTGATTTCAATCCATAATACCAGATGGTGTTCTTACATTGTATTTTTGCTTATTGCTCTGCAGATGAAAAAGGCAAAAATCGTTGGAATGAGATCACAAGTATGGTGGAGGCTAAGTGCGGACTGAAATGGCTGCTGGAAACGGTAGGTGTATGAAGCAAAAATTAAGTCAAAAAAAAAATGAAACCGGATTGGCCGAGAAATCACTTGTCTGTGCTTTTCTCGTCCAGCATTAGGTCTTCCAACCTTAGAACCTCAGGCCTTTGAACTACAGAACTGTCGTAGATTTCAATGTTGAACAATCTGGGAAATTGTAAAACCAGAAAAGTTGGCAAAATAAATGACTTTGTCAGAACTATGTTCATCAGTTAAACTTACTTCCGTGTCTCCTCATGCTATACAGCTGCTATTTGAGAAACCCAAACTTGTCCTTGTACTTGTCCATCATCTCATGACATTGTATCAACTCTGAGGACAATCAGGTCACAAAGTTTTATATAGGCAAAAATAAATCGATAAATTTTGTGCCCTTTTAATTTGCATGGCCACTATGGTCAGTAAGGCTACTTCTGATAAATAAGAAATGAATGCACAACGTGTCATCCTTATAAAGCTGTATGAAGTTGCCAAGGCTATTCAAAGCTAAAACTGGTAGAGCGATCTTGTTCTTGTCCAGCTATGCATTCAAAGCTTAACTGTGTAGAGTAATCTAACATCCTTGTCTAATAGTGTGTGGCTGCCAAGGTCAGCACCAGCGAGGTGCAGAGCCAGCTGAGCGACCTCAAAGACTCCCACCGCGAGACTCTAGCCGAGGTGGACCGGCTCCAGGACGAGATCCTAGAGCTGAAGGCCAGCCAGGAGAAGCAGATTACCCAGATGCAGAGGACCCATGAGGATAAGGTACGTCCCATGGGCTGTGTGCCTGAATGACAGCGGGTGCTCTGTTGCCCGCTCATTAGAGCCAAGGTTTAGCTACCTGAGGTTCACAGTGCACTGAACTAATAATGTCTAACTAAATAGTGAGGGTAGAGTTGATATAGAGAGCTATAAAAGTCATTGTAATTTTAAATGGAAAAATCTTTGATTCCTTTTATGATTGAAAAGTTGTTATATAATTGCATGCAGTTCCATGCGTTTCCTCAGCCGAACATGTTTCAATAATCGCTGAAAGGTTATTCCAGGTTTCTGCGTTTTGCCCCACAGGTGCTATACCTCCTCACACAGCTTTCTCAGCTGAGAGAACAAACGGGAGCAGAAGCCCCCTCTGCTGACGGCGAGGACTTGCAGAAGAGGATCAAGTTCCAGGTTTGTGGCAAAGTTCAGGGGCACTGTCATTGACCTAGATTTGAGTAAACACATACGTATTTGTTTGAATGTTCCTTAACCAAATGTGCCACTCTATATCATGGGATGCAGCCAGGCAACCCTTTACCATCTTCCAGATCCGGAAATCCTAGTCTCGCTTATCCACTGTAAAGATGTACATGCACTGATTCTAGCTTGTTGTGCAATAGTGCAAGAGCTTTCCCCTGAGAATTCAGATTTGAAATGTGTCAGTCAATAGACTTACTCAGTATGACAGATATTCCAAGTCTAGGTCATAAGGGGTGTCAGTAGTTTTTTCCATTGATGTTGTAGGAGAACAACAGAACAAATTTAATACTTCCATATGTAAATCTACCTAAACATCCCTAAATGGACTTTTGCCATAGCATTACTCCCTTGGAAGTATCATGATTTTCAACTTCTTGAAAGTTTCCTTTTCATGGTTAGAATACCAGATGATTGACTTTTCATGGTTAGAATACCAGATGATTGACTTGCAGCCTTTTAAAAACATTCTTATATCGTTATTCTTTTTACCAGGAGGATCAAATCAGAGAGTTAAGCACCCTCCACGAGCGACTACAGGAAACAGCAATGGAAAATGAAGAGTTGCATCAGGTAAGATGGTTTGGATGCAACCAAGGATTTTTCAAGCATACTGAAGGCCCTGTGGCCGTCGAGGCTTACAGGAAAAATGGACACAAAAGATGCTCCAAAATGTCATTTTCCATTGATTTCCCCCATTGACAGCAACTGACATTGGTCAGCTACTCTGGTCGTAAGCAGTCCCTGATGCCAACCTTGGTATCTCCTGGATCTTCCCCTGAGGGATCGCCGCTAAAGTTACCAAGGAAGAGACCCATCAAACAGGTATTGTGAAATTCCTTTATGCTCAGTATTTCTAACTTACCATTGCCAAGTAGGTAGTTTCCATGCCATGATGCATTGCATTGACCAATAACTTAAGCCGACAAGCTAGTTTTTGTGTGAACAAGGCGTGGTACTGATTGACTCCATCTTTGATTTGTCTTTATTATTTCTCCTAGCGATTCCCAGTTGAACGGTACACCCTAGAAGAATACTTCGAATCGGAAAGTGAAATGGACACAACAGGGAATGACTCGGACTGGCGCATGACACCCCTGGTCAAGCGCAAACCCAGGGAGAGTGTAAACAAAAAGAGATCTTTGGACAAAGTGAGCATTTCATTTGATCCGTTTTTTTTCCAGCAGTCCTGTGGTTTTAATTGTTAATTCTTAACTTCAAAGAGAGAGGCTTTTCTAGAGATGTTATGATGCCTGGCCTAGCTGTGGTTTGAACCTTGTCATTTTGTTTTGATGCTGTACCAGGTTGGGTGTGGTTGCCGGGGATTCTGCAAGTCTCGGCTCTGCAGCTGCGTGAAGGGCGTTCAGGTTTGCTCGGAAAACTGCAGATGCGACACAGCAAAATGTGCCAACCGAGCTGATGTGGTGAGATTGGCTTAATGCGTTTGTATTGGTTATTGTTGAAAGGGAAAACAGCTTCATACAAAGTCAACTCCAATTCAAATCCCAAGGCAAAAGAGGCAAGTTTCAGTATTTTGTCACTTGCAGGGGTGTGAAATCTCCACTTTGTTGTTGAAAATGCTGAATTTAATTTTCAGCTTTTTAGCTATATCGACTGGCCAGATTTCCTTTTGTTTCTTCCTTTCGCTAATGCCGATTTTGCCGGGTGTTTTTTGTTTTGTGTTTTTTTCATTTTCTATCGTCACGATAGCCAGGCCAAATTTTGCACGTCCTGTTTCTGATACCGAACAGTGCACTGTACACGCACATGTATGCCCCGTACGTGCGTACAGTGTATACAAACTGTGTGTAGGCATATATTTGGCGCGGAGCGAGCCTCGTGTGTAAACAGCATTCTCAGACCATCCGGTCATGGTGCTGTGATTGGCTGCCAATGAAATACCAATATTCATATATGTGTCAGTGGGACTCCTTGCAGCCGTTCCTTTGTGAGCAGAAGTAGTGACTAACAAGCTCCACCATAACTTAGAATAATATTAGTAAATTTTCGCTTTTGCTGATAGAGGGCTTCGCAACTAGTGCGGGCACGCAAAGTTCTTCTTGTGTCATGCATTCTCATGTGGTCTTGCATTGTTATGTACGGGCTTTCAAACATTTTTTGGACATAAACTCAGTGAACAATTAGTGCAACACATGTATACCATTTTCCAAAAAAGTTCTGACTTATATACAGCCTTTGATAAGACCGATCCTCAAGTTATAAATCTGCGGAAATGGATGTTAATGGAAACACCAGAGATGTGACTGGCTGGCAACATGGTCCGTGCCCGGAATATCCAAAAGCCTGGACATGTGATGTACGCGCGTGATGTGCATTTCAAGAACTGAAATTTTGAAAACATGCTTAGATCACGTGGGAAAAGGGCCAGCTCACTCTACAAACATCGATATTTACAATTTTGGTATACCTATTACATTGTACTAGTTCACTTGGAAAGAATTCATTCCACATACGGACAACACTTCATGCCTCTGCGCACAAACCTATGAGGCTTTTCAGAAAAACCCTTGTTTTAAGTAAACACTTCAGAATTTTCTGAAAAACCTTTGTTATAAGTAAACACTTCAGAATTTTCTCAGCTAACTTTCATTTTAAGGACATGTTTTCACTTTCTGATCACTGTTATAATATTTTAAGGGACAATTTCTGTTGTCTGTATATGTCACTCTTTCCATTAATTTTAACCTCTTCAGGAATTTCAGACACAACATGAAGAAACTGTAAAGTTAAAAATGTGCATCTATGTAAGCAGACAGTTTAGTACAATTAGCCTAAATTTCAAAAACAAAATGATCAATGGTTGCACCAGGAGGCTGTAAAATACACCACAAAGTATCTGCACTTCAAAATTTTCCTGGTCCCTTAAGTGGGCCCTGGACCTGACGCCGCATATGCTCCACGCTTCATGCTCGTAATTTCAGCTATTTTTTTATATTCCATTCACACCCCTGCACTTGACTTGAAGCAAAAACATGCAGTATTAATGATGATCGATGCCAGGACATCACACAAGAAGACAACTTTCTCAAGGGATTTTAGGCACTCCAAAATTACCAAATTTTAAATTACATGTAAAGCTTCATTCATATGAATAAGAGTTTCCTAAAATCATAAGAATGTACATAAGAATTGGACATAAATTAGTTGTTTAAAATTCTCTACAATTGTACAATTGCAGCAAAGAAATGTCAATGACACTGTCAGCACTACAGCCGGTAATAGTGTACTGATGAACACAACAGTGGTCCTCTCTGACAGCGAGCCTGAATCCCAAAACACGACGGCTGTGGCAAACCCCAAGACTCAGGCCAAGCCTCCCCGCCAAGCGCTGTCGGAGCTCACCGCCAACAACACCTCAGCCAGCTCCAGCAGTGACGAGTTTGTGCTGAAGCCCACCCTCAAGCGCACCAAGCCACCCAATGCCAACCTCCACCTGGGGATAGCGAGAAAGAAGAAGGTCTCTATTGATGCAGAGGAGAATAGCGGGGGCCTGAAGAGGAAAAGGAAGTTGCTCAGCACGTCCAGCACTGGCTCCTTCTTCAAGCCGCTGACTGACAGCTGACTCTTTGAATCGCTCCTATATATCACCAACGGCAACAGCATGACTGAACCATTATATATTTTGGAGTATAACTTTCAGAGATGAACCTGCTTAAAGATAGGATTGTGTTTTGTATTTGTAAATGAGCAAGCTATACACTATTCTGTACACTGTAATTGTTTGGAGAACTTAACACTGAATTATGATCCACAAAATAATGCTCGGTGTAGTGTTTGTGAAAATTGAAAACATGTCGTAGCTACTCTTTGGAATCCAAATTAGAAAGCAGAAGGGTGAAAGGAATAATATGTAACACATTTGAAGAAGGCTGTGAGACTTGTGGTGGGCGGCAGGCTTTAATAGCTGGGTAGAAGATTTTGCAACTTGATTTTTCAAGAAAAAAAAATCTCTGACTGGTCAGTTGATCTTCCAAAGTTTAAAGCAAAATAGTGAAAAAATTGCTGAGCTTTTTTGGCTCGGGATTTTATTTTGTAAATATAACACCTGCAATTTTCCTCATTTCCTGAAAGTCAGCGTACAAATCATTGTAGTGATCCATGATTGCAAAAATGAAAAATGTGTAAAATTAGATTATAGGCGAGAGTGTTTTTTAAGTTGGTGCTCAGATCTGCAGACCTTCCTGATTCAGAACTGGGAAAACAAAATTTATTTTGAGAAGTCTCGGATCCACTGACTAACAATTTACTGGTATCAATATAAAAAGTTTTTTGGTTGTTTTTTCGGTCCTCCAAAATTTTTTGGGAAAAAATCAGAGCTCCAACTTATAAAAAAACGCTCATCTGAAATAACAAAGTTTAGTGGAATAAAAACTAGCACAGTGATAAAAAATACAATTATCTAGGAGGGTTAGGACCGCAAACCTCTTGGGAAGGTAGTGGGTTTTAAATGATCAGTGAGCGACACCATCTGAGACCATTTCAGGTAAACATTTATGTTGACATAAAGTTGTTGTTTGCCTTGTATATTTTAATAGAGTATTGTTTCTCAAGTGTTTGGGGAAAATTGAAGTCATTTCTGTGGTCTCATTATTTCCTCACGCTTGGTTTGGTTTCATTTGCCTGTCCTTGTGCACTTTTCAACTTAAAAAGCAACACTTGTAATGTCTTCCAGCTACGGAGGTCTGAAGTGCCTTGGTCTCTGATGGCCAAATACATGTACATGTATATTGACTAACTGGACAAAGGATGTTGAGATCAAGACTGTGTTTTGTCTTTAGCTGCAAGCTTTAGGTTTATAAAATTGAAACCTGTCATTTTTAGTGCAACTTCCTTAATTTTCTAGAGAATATCAAACCATTTCATTTTATGGGAAGATTTGAGGAATGATTTTTAAGGGGTGTTTTTGTGTTTCAAACGAGAATGTTTGGATATTTCTGGATCCAAGACAAAGTTGAACTTGAGACAAATGCGAGATCTGGATAATGGTTCTGCAGTCCTTTCCAATTCACAAGGGTGAATGGGGAGGGGACAAAAACTATGCCCCAGCCCCCCCCCCAATTTTTGAAAAGTAATGAAAGAAAGGCAAAATGTTTCATCTACAGATGTATTTCTCTTCCTTCAAAAAAGTGTGTGAAAAGCCTCCAAATGTAACCCCCCCCCAGTTTTTGGCTCCCCAAAACGAGTTCTTCTTCCTTGAAAATTTTGGTCTGGATCCGCCTTTGGTAATTCCACGAATAGTGTTTGATGTTTACGTATAGAAAATGGAAAACAAACATTGCCGATAACTTGCATTTTAGCAAAGTTTGAATAATTATTTATGCCTGCAGTATGAGTTTGAACACAGCATTGGTAAATTTGAAAATGGATGCTTAGATGTAAATTTTGGTGTTTCTGAAGGTGAGAAACTCACTGACCCAATGTGTTTCCGCTTTGGCAACAATAAATTGCAGTAGTTTGCATCTAACATCCTTAATTTTATCTTGTAATTGTTATCCTTGTTTGTGTCTATTAAGACATGGAATTTTTTCCCAGGAGCATTTTGTGTTTTTTTTTTTGTGGGGGTGGGCATCTCTTTGTAGCTATTTTTTTTTTTAAACTGAGAAAAGGTACTTTTCTCAGTACTTTTCTCTTTCATCCTTTTACAGCTGGTGTTCTAGTATTTCAGAGTCACATTTGGGGACAAATACATGTACGAAGTTTTTCCTCTCCAATAATACAACCCCCCCATTCATATTTGTATAATATATATTCAGATTTTTTCACTCTGGTCAGCGTTGCTCAACTTTCCCCCGCGTTTGTGGGGAGCATTTTTCTGTTTTTGGACACACACACTAGAAATATGGATTGTGGACAGTCTCATCAATCCATATTTTAAGGCGAGTACTTCCACAATTTATTGGTCTTCCGAGCACGTCTTGTTCACGAAGCCTCATATGGCAAGAATCCCCCATGACGTCATTCTCCATGTCTGACTGAAATTTTAAGAAAACGGTTTCAGCCAATGAAACGGCTGGGCCTTGATTTTTATGGGTCAAAGGTCCATACCGACAATTTGCATGTAAACAAGTCTAGAAATTATAATTTCTCGTCGCGCGTATAGCTTAGCTAGCCTAGCCGCGTAGTACACATGCACGCGCGCGTGGACGTAAGCCAGGCCTAGGCTTTGCCCGGGGATTTCGTCGTGTTTTTCCAGAGAATACTGAGCTTAACAGGTAACAGTAATAATTTATGTGTATGTTGTAGTTCATACACGATGTGGAGCTCGTGAAAGCATAGAGAAAGCTTTTAGTCCTACTTCAAATTTCATTTGAAATCCATTTCGTGTTGACTTGCACTTCTGAAGTTATAGCTACAACAATGGCGGTGCTGGTGACACGTTACAGTTGTGCATGCCCTATAGTTGGGTCAGTGTTTAGAATGCCCATGTGGCAACGCTGTAGGTCTATGTGCCGGTAGAAATTAGCAGAAACCCTTCTCAAAGAAACCACTGCTCTTTAGCCTCAGTCAGCAGAGTGTATTGTATGACGCCACCAAACTTGTCCGAAGTTTGCCAAAAAATAAAAATCCTGGCTGGTCCTCGTAGGCCTAACACTTTGTATCTAGCTTAGGCCTGTATTTTGTCCCATTTGATCTATATAAATGATGAGTTTTAAATTAGTAAACTAGTTTCTTGTTTCGTGCAAGCCACAGCACTGGAAGGCAAAAACTGCTAGGCCTACTGCAAATTAGTTTGATAAATACTGAATAGTATTGCTTGGTAAAGTAAATGTTCGGGGATGCCAAGCTACAGCTTTGGGGAAGATGTGGACTGAATTTTCGCAGGGGACTAATTGACAAAGTGACTGGTTGGTAGACCCTATTTATTGGCTAAGCTATATTTTTGTCTTGTCTTCTCCCAAAATTACCGGGTCAAATAAAGATTATGTATACTTAGACGGGGTTCTCTGGCCATGCATATCCGAAATATAATTTCCTGCCTGAAACTTAGCAAAGTAATGTGATTAAACCTCTGCATAAAATGTTCATGCTTGGGATTTTGTTTGCCTAACCTTTCAAATACTTCATTTGATAATGACCCTTGTATTCCTGTTGATCAGCAGGGGCAATTCTTTTTTGTTTTATCTTCAAGAATTTTTCATAACTGGCAAATAAAAGAACTGTGAGAGTTAGATATTTGGAAAAACTAATAAATGCTAGAAAATAGTTAAAAGAAAAATTACCTCTATTAACTTCAATATTCTTTTTTTCCTAAATAAAACAGTAACCTGCAAAGCAATGCTTCACAACACATCACAACTAGCTCAAGTCTCACAGACTTATAATTATTTGATAAAAAAGGAGATGTAACTTTTTGTTTCACAGGCAAAGTATTGTGAGCAAATAAAGTGGGAAGAGTGTCACAATGCTTTGTGTTGTTCTGATTTCGGTTTTTTTTAAATGTTTTTGGGGAGCACAGAATGGAATAAATTTGTATTCAAAATTATGTACATTTTGTATCAAGAAAAGTAAAAATCATCATTGCAGTTTCCAAGTTGATGAGTGATACATAACATTAGAAAAGTTATTCAAGAATGCTTACATGTAAACAACCAAGTTTTAGATGCAAAACAATTAAAAATTTTCTGAAAAGATTTATATGAGCATGCTGACAGATGCCATTGTAGGCCCTATATGTAATTGCATTTACCGTGGTTTAGTTATGATTTACAATTTGGAGTAGGTAACTGAAAACGGGTATTATATGTTTTCTGTTTGGTCCAATAAAAGTACATCTTAAAAACATGACAAAGTCTGTTTTTGCTCACAATTGATTTATTTTCAATCAAATCTTTGAAGCATGTGTCAAACCGTATGCTGTGCACACATTCTAAATCCAAATGTACCGCAGGATAAAATGAAAGGGAATAAAGCTCAGTCCACACACAAGAATAGTCTAAAAGGCAGGCAGTCTGCAGATTTGAGCCTCGCAATCTAGCTGTATGTTTTTCAATATTATTATATTACATCAGAAACTTAATATTACTACTTTTCATGGTATTGCAGAATAAAAACTTCTGAACACACATTACACTCGTTATTTAGTTGGTTACTGTGAAAAATGTCTTAGTCGGTAGGTCTACAAATACTGTCACACTAAAAACATTTCAGCAAGACCACCTGTGCCCTGGTACTTTGTCTCTCGCCTGGAGTGGCACCAATTGAACGAAATCCAGGTTAAACTGGGAAAATGTACTGCTGTTGAGATGGTATTCTTGGTTTCTTTTCAGTTTAGGGCATACTATTACCTTTAATGAACTTACACAGACAAGTGAACCCCCCCAGTACTCATTTTCACATTATCATCAACTGCGGCTGCTTTTGTAATAAATATACCCACGAATAAAATACTTTCCAGTTACGAGGTGAAATTGTAGCAATTTGTCAATAAGCGATCCAGATGTTGATGATATAATTCACACTTAATATTAAATCCTAATGTTAGAATTCTGCAAAGCTGCCTTCAGATGATCAAAGCTCACCTGTGAAAGACTCTACAAGGAGTCAGAGTCAAAGTAACTGTAACTTTTTAAAGCTAATTTAATTTAAAAATAAACCTGTATACCACTAGAAAAAAATATTGCAACATTCTGATGTCTACGCGGGTCCATTCCAGTTGGAGATCCAAGACAAATTGGCTGGTCTCGTAGAAGTGGCCGACTTCGGTCGAGATCCAGATGCTGAAGGCGGCCTTGGTTGCTCACATTTGGCCATGGATTCTAGCATTTTCTGCAGGACATCACGCTCTGAAAAATTGGAAACGATACAGCATTATTATTGGGAATTAAACAATAAAGATTGAGACCTTAAAAAAATCCTTGTTATATATAAAATTATAAGCAGAATGTTGTGTGACGAAAATGCCCCCAAATCTCACTTTTCTCTAGTCTTCGTACTGTAAATCTTACCCATTTCCTTCTAGAGACCAGGCATTTTCGTCTAGTAAATCCCTATTGTCTTTGTAGGCGTTATTTCTAAACAGTTTCTAGTATTTTCCTGGCGATATTGTGTGTGTGCACTCTGTTTGTTTATACGTCAGCTGTATTGTTAAGGTAAAATCCAACATGGCTGCCATTTGCGCAGTGTGGTGGTTAAAACGTTTGAGATTGGCTGAAAGTTGTAAATTTATTTCCGGAAGACTGAGACATCAAAAAGGCAACTCATATTTGCAGAAAGTCGAGATAAGTGTTTATTTAGCTTCAGTAGAGGTAATATTGTCTAATTTGAAGCAACTGTGAAAGTAACGAAAATTTTGATGACTTTTCTGTTAGATATCGTCTGGTAAGTCAGTGACTGGATCATAAATATTCATATCTGTGACATCACTGTGTTTGTTCAATGAACTTAGGGTTTGTTTACATTCACTTACACCCGGTGAAAGTGAGCATTTTGGGGATTCTTACTAATTTATTCACAGTTGTAGAACACATCGTTAGGAATGTCTTGAAGATTGATTCCAGCCATTTTATGTTATGTTTTCCTGTATGATTTTAGAGATATTTAGATGAAACTATCGCCATATGATTATGAAACACTCTTCTGTGACTGTTTACAAATGTGGGCGTGGCCAATTTACTAGCACGTATTTTTGACCGAACTGGGCACGCAACCCATAGGGTATAAATAGGTCAGCATTTTGCTAATTAAGGGATTTGGAATTGGATTTGGTGGATGTTGGCCAAAGAATACTACTGTACTGCTCATCTCTGATATGATAGGTTGTGCGTTGGGGAGCAAGTTAGCCTGAGCAAAGTGGATGTAAGTGAGCCAAGTACTGGGGAGCCAAGCCACATTGATTTGCTCCTTTATTTGTATAGTGGGGAGCAAGGATAAATAATTTAAGGTTTTATTGGAGGATCGGCATTGTTGTGCAGTGGGGAGCCAAGCTTAAGGTTTTATTGGAGGATCTACGTTGTTGTGCTGTGGGGAGCCAAGCTTAAGGTTTTATTGGAGGCTCTGCATTGTATGTGTATTGGGGAGCCAAGCTTAAGGATTCATTGGAGGCTCTACATTGCCTGTGCATTGGGGAGCCGAGCCTAAGGATATTTTTTGTTTGGGGTACGCTGTACTGGGGAGCTGTATCTGGGTATTGAGTCATACGCAGACAGTAGAGATATAGTGAGTTTGTATAAAGTTTTCTCACAGAAGCACTGGGTTCTTGAGAGGAGATTTAGTGGAATTAGGCTGACGAGTCTGTTTTCCTAAGTAGTGTGAGAAAGGTCTGGGGCCTATTTAGTATTTTTGAGGAAGGCCTGGGGCCTATTTAGTATTTTCAAAAAAGGTCTGGGACCTTAGTGAATTCCTCTTGAAAGCAGACAGGTTTAAATGATACCTGGTCTGGCTGTACAAGTTTATTAACCTAGACAGGTTTAAATGATACCTAGTCTTGGTTGTGCAAGTTGAGTAGACGGGTTGAAACGATACCTCGTCTCCACTCTGAAAGCAAGTGGACAGGTTTAAACAATACCTGGCTCCATATTTGTTTTCTACCATACTGTCTGTAAGTTATACTCTTTCCCTTACTCCCCAGGTCTTATTCAAGTGCCAATCAACCCTGGGTTGGAAATAAGCGAGGATTGGATACAGACATTTACTGGATTGTACCAGGAGGTGTTCATACTGGAGTGTAAATACATGTACAGAGTGTAATACCCGACCCCATTTTAATATTGTTGCGGATACAACAAGTTTCTTACAACTTGTTATTGTTCTCATTTGTATCGTTGCGGATCTGAATTAAATAGTTGGGAATAGTTTTGTTCTGTACAACTTGATTCCTGTCATAATTTATGTGAGCCCTCCCCCTTTTCAAGGTGACTGCTTGTCGATAACTTCCGTCATATACTTTGACCCGAACCCACGTCAGCCAACGCGAAGTGCTACACCGGAGAGGCGAAACTCTGGGGTTTAGGCCTGAACTATTTCGCCTGGTGGCAGCGCTATTGAGGATTTTGAAGAGGTTTCCCGAATTCCCCCCCTTTCCAATCGGCCCCTGGTCCACGCCCCGCCCCCTCTCGTCCGCCCGGAGCGGAGACGGAGCGAATATTTCGCCACAGTTGTAATAACTGTGCTCTATTAACGAGGTTCGACTGTAATAAGGACAAAATGGCACAAATTTAAAGCAGAATAACTTGACTAGGAAAATTATATGTTCATACCGTTACAAGGACATGAATAAATAAATTATATTTGGAACATTCCGTGCGAATAATACCATCAATAAAATATGAGCTTTGATCTGTTACCCTTTTCAGATGCCAGTTGTAGATACTCGTCCAGTTTGCCGGCATCCAGTGCCTTGGACACTTCCACCATACCGGGACGGAACGGCTTGTTGAAGAAGCGATCGTACGTCGTGTGCCGCCGCAGATGCTTCTGATGGGTTGAGGACAAAGGAACTACGAATAGAACAAAACATGGATAGCGTGAGTATTAACATCAATTTATTTATGTAAATCAATAAACATTAACATTTAGCTGAACCAATGAACAGATCTTGATTATAATATCTTTTACGTACTGAGTAACACAACTATAGGCCCACATGTATAGCTTTAAAAAGTTGCTGTAAAGTGTGATTTTTTTTATTCTGTGTAGTTCAAATTTTTTTCAAGTGTTTGTAGCAGATAACTGGATTTTCAACATTCTTTCCCATTGCCATATGGTATTTCATCCAGATGTTTAGCAATGCACCCATATTGTTTTATCATTGTAGCACTGCCTTGAAATCTCGAATAATATTCGACGAAGTGAGAAATTTAAATGTAATTCTCAACCAGAAGATGTTTGTAAAGTCGAAATCATTTTGTCAAATTAAATGAATATGAAATGCGTTTGTAATTATAAAATTTCCTTAATCTCAAGGTCATACCTTCACCATTAAAATATTAATAATAACTTTAAAAGAATGATGATCATTTTTATGTATGATTGGCAGTTGGACAAAAATCGTGTTTACCAATGCCGGAAGCCTTTAAATGTTTGTCTTTATTGCACCCGTATCGACTGTTGTTTCCTCGAAGTAGATCTTGTTGTTTGGGAAACTGATACGAAAACCGCATGGTTGAGGCGAGACTGAACGGGACCTTCTCCCGCCAGTCCACGTAATTCTCAAATGCCGATTGCATCTGATAACCTGGCAAAAACAGAGGAAGAAACGATTGTGCGTTTATCACCTCACGGGCATTGTTAATAGGCTCATGTAACTTCTATTTTCCCGATTATTTAAAAGGAAAAGCTCCTTCAAAAGTAGCTTTCTAGTTCTGTGGCAACAGATTATGAAAGAATGTGGCTTAATTTATATAACGGGTTTTGCCCTGACCTAACGTATATTATAATATACAGGTTACAGGTGCACGCGTCACAGTGCACATTGTAATTCGACAACCAGAATTATAATTTTTACTGCGGTGGCGTAACGCTCGTGGACAAGTGGTACCGACACGCGCCACATGCCTCTTGTACATGTACATGTGTTGTGATGACATGTACATGTGTTGTGATGGCCAATGTACCCGCGCGTCAAGCTGAAGAATCTGCATTATGAGTGCAGTGCCACCATTGATCTCCTAACCCCCCAAGGGACCATTGAAAACCTGTATAACCTTGTTGGATTCAGCATGGTTAGGGTTAAAAGAATGTATCACCCATAGTGTTATATATCCACTTTTACTTTTTATATACCTCTGGTGCCACCGCAGTTATGGCATCTAAAGGCTAAACAAGCCACGAAGTGAATACATCACGCACACAATTATGTGTGTAGAGGGCACTAACGCCAGTGTGAGGAATTTGTACGATGGTCATTTCTGTTTTGTTTTCTTCTCTTTTTCTATATTTGCACATAACATTTTGATAAACAGAAATGAGTTTGTTACACTTCAGGTAAAGTACATGTAACTTGCACTTTATAATTGATATTTCCAAAACTACTTCTGATACCTTGGGGAACGCCCAGATAGTCATTTTGATAGGTTGACTTGCACTTGTCCCGTAGTACTTCTTCCATCATTTGATCAGTGATCTCGCCTGGGTAGATTTGTTGGTCCTTAGGTACATGCTTAGGGAACCGCCAAACCATGAAAGACTGTGGATACGAAAAGAGAGGAGTAAATTGTGTCAGGCCCCATCAGCGTCAGGGACATGTTCTGGCAAGATACATTTAAATCAAGTAACTAAAAAATCACTTTCCATGATTCATTTTGGCACTTGCATTTCGCATGCATTATTTAGACTGCACGCGTGGACGAAAACTGGGTTTATGTATGGCTTACCAAATGCCTTGAAAAACGATTTCGTAGTAGCGTAATCGTTATGGACAAAATCGGAGCCACTGGATACGAACGGTAGTAAATCTATAGCAGTACAGTACATTGACTGTAAAGAGACTATGAGCTGTCAGTCGAAATAAGGGTTATTCAAACATTCAAAATTTTAGTCTTAAATGGAACTAGAAAATTGTTGCTTGTCCTCCGTATAGGGCCTCGTATTTATTTATTTTTACCGTTTTCTTTTTCAAACGTTTTTCTTTTTTTTGCTTTTTTATTTTTAAAGGTATCGATTCTTTAAAACAGTGTATTAAGTGCAATGAAAATGGAATATTCTTCACCTTTTGGGCAAAATTGTTTTCGTAAAGAGCTCAATAATATCCAACATACCAATAGATCTGGTATAGAGTAAAATTCGTGAAAGAGCGGTTCATCTTCTAGCTGCCTGCCAATCTGGCTTTAGACCATTGCACTCGACTGAGACCACTTCACAATTAAAAATTGTGTTAATGCAATGGTATGTGGGAAAATGACTAGTAGTGTTTATTAGTTTAGTAAGGCTTTTGATTCCGTTAATCATGTTATTCTCTTGGAAAAACTACGAGAAAAGAATCTGTCCGAGTCAGCCTTAAACTGGTTCATTTCCTACTTAAACCAATCGCAAACAATCAGTGCATATCGAAAGAGCCAAGTCTGACCACTCCCACTCAACCCAGCGTTCCACAAGGCTCAGTTCTTGGCCCACTCTTGTTCATTATTTACTTCACTAGAGACCTTCCCGCCGTAATTCCTGTAAATTGTATATGCATGCTGATGATTGTACGATTACTTGTAGTTCCCCAATCAGAAACGACTGAGAATCGCCTTAATGAAGCCAAGGTTGGAATTGAGAAATATGTTATTCACTAATGCATCTAAAACCAAAGCTATACTCATTGGATCAAGCTTCTGACAACGACTTGTAAGGATCTTCATTGGTGAGTCCTTAGTGGAGAAAGTCAGCATCTTCAAATGTTTGGGCGTTGTCAAATAAGGCATGAAACACGGAAAGCATTGGATTCCGAGAAAGAGCCTTCATATCTTAGTTCAATGCCTAATATTGCCCATTAGCTTGATTACCGCTGTACGGTATGGGGAATCAAATACATGTATGAACGACACAACGATAGGCTCAACAAACTGCTTAGAAAATAAAAGAGCAGCCAGGCTAATTCTGGGATGCCCATTCAGTACTCCGTCAACTGATATGTTCGACAAAGTAAAATGGCTCCTCTTTTCAAAAAGATAAAAATATGTGAGAGGAGTACTTGTCTTCAAATGTGCCCTAATTACATGGCTGACCTTTTCAACTAGTTTACGGATCACCGAGTTACAAGACAGAATACACAAGGTATGCGTTAAAACTCCCCATTGCTAAAACAGAATATTTTCTCATAGTTTTGCAGTTCTCGGAGCAAAAATCTCTAATAGCCTACCTGTCCATCTCAGACAAATCAATTTGCTAGCTGTCTATTAAGGCAAATTACTCGGCCCATTTGATTTATCAAGATTAAATACCTTCAAACTTTCATGATTTTAGAATTAATTTAGTTAATTGAATTACTTTAATTATGTTAATAACTTTTTGCAGTTAATTATGTTTTTTATGTATCATGCTTAATTAGTTTTGAGCTGTGTTTTTTTACGTTTAACTTAAATTTAGTGCTTCTGTCTTCTCCGTTATTTCATAACTCTTGTAATCATCTTTTTGAAACATTTTGAAGGCCCAATGAAAACCAGCTTTGGCTGTTTGGGCGTATCCTGAGTAAATGAAGGAAATAATAAATAATAATAGAGACTTGCTGCACTCAAATATTAATTATTGGCTTAAAATTAATTGAAATCAAATTATGTACTACTTGCTGAAAAGAAAATAGAGAACACACTGATAAATTATATTCGGTTCATAAATTCCAATAAAGCGTATTTTTAAGAGTTATTTGATGTCATTGAAAAAAATATCGCTGCGAGCAGGGTTCGAACCTGCGCGGGAAGATCCCATTGGATTTCAAGTCCAACGCCTTAACCACTCGGCCATCACAGCACAGGAAACCATTGTGGCCCATTTATTTATAAATGATGAATCATCTAAAGCAACCTTCGCAGCACAACGGCTCTTCGACGACTGTTTTATGTATAAATGCTTCGAACAGAGTTGCAGCGCTCATGCGGATTACGCGGAGACTACTGGCTCCTGACTGTTCCATGTTTAAAATCATACTTCATTTTCCTCACTGTTATACTGTATTAATTATATTGTCCTGCAAACTCAAAACATTTGAATAATTATATCATAGCATAGGATTTGGAATATGGAACAAATCACGGTTTTTTTACTGTTATGTGTCGGTATTTTAGGTGGATTAACTTGACTTTACAAATGTTGAGTAAATGGTTGTTTACTAAACAGCCGTTGAGACTATTTACGTATATCTAGTGGGATTGAGCCTACGGCTGTTTACATACATCGACAGTCTTGGTGACTTCGCGTACAGTACATGATTTCTGAAACGGCTGAGCCTATTTCGATATGGATGGATTTGGTTAGTTTTCGGTCGGTGACGACACGCCTGTTATAACATACCTCAAATGGGTGTGGATTATTGCGCCTATCTCCCGAGGAAGTGCCTGATCGTATAAGTTGGGGTCTACAGTAGCCCTTATTGTAGAACTCCTTGTTGTATGTTGGTGTTCCTACGGGTCCATTCAGCTCATACGAAGCCTTGTATAGACCATCCGTAGATTTCGGCCTAGTTGTAAAAGTAATTAAACGAATGGGGTGTTCTCAAATTGCATTCAGTTTCAATTAAAATTATTCCTTATTAGGGAAAATTCTGGGTTTGTTGCTCTTCGGAAATACCATACATGCATGGAGTGACTTGCGGGTATAAGAAGAAAAAAGGATAATAGTTCAGGTTGCTATACGTATAGTCATTTTAATGTTCCATAAATCAAGATGTAGTGAACTTACGAATGGTACTTTGTGTCTGTTTTGTTTTGTTTATTTCCATTATGGAGTATATGTTTACCATGTTACCTTGCTTGCGGCGCAGGAGGAGCAATGACTCCTGGAAAATCTCTCCGGTATGTCGTCATTGTACGCTTCACCTGCGGAGCGCCGCTACGACCTTCAAGATTGAAAAAAGAAGAAACAGACGTTTGCTTCATAATGTGTTTTAATCTTCCACACTTAAATTTACTTATTTGTACCCTATCATGTGCTCCTTATAAATCAATGTTGCCATTATAATTTTGTTCTGACCGAAACGTGCCATTTAGGTACAGAGTTTCATCTATCGCCTGTCTTTTCTCATTAAAAACTACCAGTCAACTCTGAGGAAGCTTTGTGAAACTGTCTCACCTTCATGCGAAATCAGCCAACATTTTGCACTGTGTTGAAAGCTTTGCATGGGAGATCAATACACCAGTGTTAAGACTTGTGCATAAATAGGGAGTTTGAGTTTGTAAGAACAAAACTGCCTGTGTGAATAAGTTTTGCCCGTATTCAGGACTGGACAGGTGGCTAGATTAGACTCCTGTCAAATACGGATATTGCGCTGATTCTTTCACGAAAGAACCACGAACCTGTAAAATGTATTGAATAATCATAAAGATTGGCAGTAAACGTACACCTTACTACTGAAAAAGCTTCTGTAATCTTACCCTTTGATCTTAGGAAAACGACAGCACTTGTAAACAGACGATTTTGCGTAAATCCCGTCATTTGTTAAACTATTTCAAGCGAGTTTCAAGTGCTTTAATGTTTGTGTTGTCTGAACAACTAGCAGTGAGACCCCAAAGAAATCACGGTGTTTAATTTAGATTGATAGTGGCCTTTTCTAGGTCGCTGTAGCATTCAAGGCCTGGCTGCTATCAGCGCGATAGCAACCGTTTAAAACGTGCAAAGTCCTCATGACCGTCATAAGGATAATGTATAGTGAGGAGATTATACACGATCAACTTGATCACATGAAATATATTCTGATAAATGATCTCATCTTGATGATAAATTGACGTAAATTATGTCCTGGGAAGTACTTACCCACGAACAGAATCTACTTCTAAACCGCTGCACCGAATGGAGTTTTATATAGTAGTCATCCTGTATTCTTGTACGACTTTTTTGGGTTCCATCTACGATTTTTGATACTTACATTGAAATAGCACTTTAAGAATCAAACGAACGACGATTGGAGTTTATCCACACCATATCTAGTTTTTTTCAGTATTTGTAGGCGAAGTTGTGGAAGTAGTTATGAAGATTATCCTATGGGGTTAATTTTATAAAAACGGCAAGAGACTCCCCTCATTAAAACTCACTATAAATACATCGTTGACATTCATAGGTTTTCCTATATGTTTTTAAAACTGTTTTTGTTTCAGTTCTTAGTGTAAGGATTTAATTTGTTTTTTTCATTAGATTTTAAGAATGCTTCGATTAAATTCATGGGATGGATATTGTAAGACAAAAGTTTCAACAAAACAATCTAAAGGATGAGAAGAACTGAATCGACTGCTTCTGAAAGATGTAAACATAATTTCAAATACATTTTGCTGTTTGTGAAATTGGAAGTATGCGTTTTCATTGGCCCACATACAGTGTATATTTCTTCTGGTTGACGCATAAATTGTCGAACTAAATAGATACACAATAGACAATATAATTTTGCACGTTATTGCTTCAAGTTAAACAGACACACAAAAATATAGAGAATATGTGTAATTTGGAAACATGATGAAAGCGTAAAAATATCAGATACCAGTGACGATATAATAGTGTGACGAATGTAAATGAAATTTATGTAGTATTGATTGCAAAATGACGAAATTGCCTTATTTATCCATTAAGGTAGATCTATCATACTTCCGGAAATTGTGGACGACAAAAATCAATTATCTTTTACAAAAAGGTATAATAAATGTGTGAATTCGAGCATAGTGCCAAAATGACTGACCAAAGATGGAATTGAATGTATGATATGAAACGTCTTGAATTTTCAAGACAATTTTGCAGTTTTGTGAAAAAGACCCATACTTTGAATGACTTTCATCCTGTTGTACATTGTCACGTTGAACTGGGTACATAACGATAATAATACCGTGAATATTGCGCATGTGTATATATCGATATCCACGGATAATAATAGTAAGTGGTATTAGACATCGCTTTTCACGTGTGTGCATGTAATTGAATTCTGTGTAATTCACCGTTAATTTCAAAAGCTGAAAATAAAACGTTTTAAAAGTCTTCTTTCATGCCGTTCTTACCTAAAGACGCCATGGCCGTCTTCGGCCTCTGTAGCTTTGGACCTTTGGGCCGTGCTGGTTTCTTAGCTGCTGCGTGCTTGGTTAGCTCTTCTCCGATGGAGAGGGAAGTGAGAAGCTCCAAGCAACGCCGCTTATCTTCGGCATTCGCCTTGCCGTAAAACTGCAGCAGGTCCTTGCTGAAACCTGCCGTTAGCGAATCGCCGCCGAACTGTTTGGAAGAAATTAAAGCTATTAAAGCAAAGTTGCGTGTGCTTAAGTTTTTAAAGCTGAAGACAGAAAAAATCGAGGTTTCTTAATTGCGTGCATGTCGAAGTTTCTAACTGAAATTTGTGTTTTTCGGGCCACTGCTAGTTTGAAAAACGAGCAAACAGCTGTGAAGCATGGACATAGTAGACGTGAACTGTGTACATGTTAAACCTCTTGGTTTTAATCTAAGGCTCCCCCATTTGAAAAGACCACAATAGTCCAGTGAACAGTTCAGGACGAATACCAGCAAGGGCGTCTGCGCTTAGCAATAATACTAAAATCATATGGCAGCAGAACATGAGTGAGCAAGATCATTTTGTGCATGATCACTGTATGTAAACATGATTCTGTACGTGCAGTCACAGGTTAACGTAGTACTTTATGCACACTTTGATCATGCACCTGACTGAAACCTGGACAGAAATCTAATGAGCCAAAAAACTTCACCATACTGATCACTCATTTTCCTCAGCTGAACCGACAACTTTTACCTCGGTAAGGTACTGCTTGCTCCTCGATTTTGCCCTGTGATCTGTCTCTCCAGTTCCCCATCCTTCCCTAACTTGACTAGTTACGATCTCCGTGGCCGCCATTGTTACGTTTCACCTGTTACCCCGTCTTCCGTGGCGCGCGCCTCATTACGTCAACAAATGGGCCAGCCCAAGCCCACACGGTACCCATTGATCAGAGATTCCCAGCTGAGTGCGTGGTTGCTATGGGACGCGTCGACGTGTGGTGTCGGTTGCCCATTGGCTTCCTTTCCTAAACGAGGGCGCTGTGCGCGCACATCCGCCCCAAGGGTGTATTCTCCTAATTCAAGCCCCATTGAAAACCGTGTAAAATCAACATTCTTCAGGGCTCAATAACTGCAAGCCAACATCCCTGAGGTTTGTCAAACAAAAATGGAATTATTCCTTGGTCCTTAAACTTTCAATTTCTTTTCAATGGGGGAGGGGGTCAACTGATGGAATTTTTAATTATTCACACACAAAAAAACAACCCCCCCCCCAAAAGGAGAAGTTGCGAAGTCTGCGTTTAGCCATTTTTCAAGTGCCAACCCTCAACTTTCTCGGGCACCTAGGACAATTTCCAACCGTAATTTTTCGGCCCTTCTGCTCAAAGATAGGAGCCCAAACCCCCATGAACTTGATCCTGCCCAGAATTTATACAATCTCACCCTTTGGGGGGGGGGCAAACATCTCCTTTTTCAAAAGAAAATGCGGGGGAGGGCACTTTTAATGCTACTAGTGAGCTGGCCAGAAATTCTCGCTTCAATTAGTAGACTGCACCCCAAACCCAATGGAGATTAATGCCCGAACCCCAGACCCACTGGCGAAAGCCGGTCTTTGTAAAAGTCGACTCATGTCTTTCATTTTCAGTTCAATATATTTTAGTTAACTATGATAATATTTTGAAGAAATTTTCATCCGAAGATAATTTTCATCCGAAGGTGACCATCCTTAAAAAGTCTTGAAGACCAATGGCATTTTGAAAATTGAGAACCTCTTGCATGGCGTTGTTTGTTCAAATAATAGATATAAGCCTGCCTGTCTGTTCCAGCTTTTGAAACCTCTTTTCTTCCATAAACTCTTCAGTTCATGGTCCACAAAATGCTCTAATAGCAGTTAATTCGAAAACAATCGTGATTTTGTCCAACTGGGTTATCATCAGCAGCATAGATTCTGGCTTGCGAACCCATGGTACCGGGCAAGTTGTATGCGCTTTTCGAATCGAAGCCACGTCTCTGCCATTTTTATTCCGGGCTAGACTGCTATACTTTACGTAACTGCTAAGGTAGGAATTTATATTATAATAAAAAATCCGTGACTGTAATTTTAAATTATAGTCCATGTCTTCTATAATTTCATAAAAATGGGAAAAGGAAAAAGAAAGAAAAAACACGACATCGTATTGCGCGTGCGTCATAAGGAAACAAAGATGCGGTTCAAGTGTGTATATGTGTGTGTGTCTTCACTTCGTCTTCATTGGTCTGTGCCTATTATTCACTTGTCATATTATGGATGACTGATTTGCATCAGTGTGTTTCAATTTTCGTCGCCTCCTTTTTTTGAGAATTACAATTAAGATTTATCGTTTGCGCCTGTGTTTGCTTGTTTTAAGTCAATCAAATTTTCCTGTTTTGCGTGTCTATTCCCCTTTCCAGGCTAAAAACATTAGAACGTTTCAAGATTGATGCATGGACGTTGTTCGCTTCTCTCATTTCGTACTTCGATTCCATCTGTACTAGGCT